CCGCCGTACTTTGCTGAACAGTCGAACACGACGCGCAGTTTACCAGGCTTTTTAGGGTGGTATATGCCATGATGGGGAATATACCACCGTTCACCATTAGTTCCGTTTTCGTCTACCTCTTCAACATCACCTCTTTCAATGACCATGTATTCATGTATGCTGTGTAGTCCTTCTTATATTTCTCATCTCTGTGAAATTTCCGGCCTAAGTGACAGCCTGATTTCAGCGAGTTTCTTGTTATCAGGTATGGTTGCTTAAAGTGCAAGGGCATTTCATAATGTCCCTCCCTTTGAGTTTGTCCAAGAAAACAAGATCCTCTTGTGAGACAGTCTTGTCGTCTGTTTTAGTGTCCTTAAAGTCTGACTCCAGGGCACTTAACACATCCAACGGCGTTACAGGAGGGAGTTCCTTTACTGCGACTCTATGACACAGGCTGGATGATTCACTGGAATGCAGTCCTTTGTGTATGAAGGAGGTAGGTCAATGTGAAAGCATGAATTGCAGCCTCTCACACAAAGTCCGGAAACCCTTTCACTCTTCATGATCTCTCCAAGTTTTAGTTTCACAGGATAGGCATCTGCTTGTAATTCCTTGCTTACCTCATTTTCGATGAATGTGCTGTCACTTTGAGTGTCTAATAATGCATAGACAAGCTGCTCCTGGGATGGATTTGTAGCAGAGGACACCCACACAGGGACGATCATGGAAGTGCTGCAGGACTGACACCCTCTAGCGATGTTGAGTGGCATGGCTACTGTGGTTTCATCTGCTGCGTTTAAAGCTGTGTTCACAACGGATAAAGGCCTTTCTCTAAACTCATGTTTTCTGTAGTTTTAATCATGGAGACAGGTCGGGTGCCTTCCCTTGCACACATCACAAGTGTGGCGGTGACGACATTCCTTGGCGCCGGAGGTGACTGTGTTGCATGCTGTCTCTGCTTCTACTAACACAAACTTTGTGAAATCCTCAAAAGTGGGAAACTCTTTATTTTCCATGAGGGCTGTCGTAACTCTGCAATTCCAACGGGATGCTAACCAATCAGGAACTTTCTGTGTTAGCTTTTGGTTTTCCTCACAGTCACTTAATATTTCTAGACCCTTCACATAAGGCATGGCTTGCAGGCAGGCATTTAGGAAGTCTGAGAATGCTCTTAACCCTTCTTCATCTTTGGAATGTATTTTTGGCCTGTAGCTTTGTAGGGTAGCTGATATGCTCCTCGGAGGAGATCTGGTGGTCTCCTGAAAAAGCAACACACACAAAAGAGGTGAAGATAACCATATGAAAATATTTTTGTACAAATTGATACTTTGACAAAACTAGGCTATGTTTTGATTTTTGGACAGCCAGTCTTTGATTCATTAAAATTGATTTGACTCTCTCACAGCAGTCAAGCAGGAAATATAGCAGGAGATACAGACCCAGCAGTTAACATTAAAACCTGTAATGATACGTCATAAGCTAGGAAATATGCATTTATCTACATTTATTTCCATTCACTAGGGTCCAACCATTGTGAGTCTCCCGCTAAATGGACGTTCTTTCATGTGGAGTTCTTCTCTATGCCACAGGATGCTCCTGTTACCGGGCTGTCTGTGTTAAGAGTGTGGAGGAGAAGCAGGACCCGCCATCCTGCTTTGGTCAAAGCTAGTAGTAATATTAATTCATTTCATGTAATTTTCTCCAAAGCTTGCTTCATGGTTATTTTAAGCGAGTTGTTTGAGACAAAATATCTTAACATTCATTAAAACTACATTAATAATGTTACCTGTCAACAACCAAAATGTCTCTAATGCCGTTTTTCCATTACCAGTACCAGCTCAACTTGCCTCTACCCGACTGTACTCGACTCGGTTTGGCCGTGCTCCTTAGTGATGATTGATCCTAAAGTATCGATATTTCTGATACCAACTTTTCCTGCTCCAGTAATTTGGAGTGAGTGTGTGTTTTACCATAAGTATCTCACTGCCACCAGGATGGTCTAATTATAGGCTACTCGGTTGATAGGAACTACTTTTCCTTCCGCCTGTCAAAGTCATGCTTGCACTACAGCTCTGTGACGGAGCTTCTTTGAAGTGAGCTGCTGCAGCCCTTTACATTTCCCGCGATTGAATACTGACTGGCTGACTGTAAAAACACGTCACGTCTGGCTGTATTTTAGCTGTGTAGGTAATAATGACGCTGTGTGTGATGTGTGTGTGTATAAAGACAGTGAAATACTTTGGCAACACTGCAAACTTCGCTAAACATCTGACATTAAGTCTGTCACAATAGGATGATGTTATGAAGCGGCAGTTCTGAGCAAGATATTTTCATTATAATTAAAGAATATGACAGTAGTTTGATGTCTTGTCATTATGCAGCTATTATTTTGAATTGGTAAGGCTACAGCCTACTCCTTATTTCTCTCATAAATACAGAAACGGGAGGGGGGAGGTCACATTAAACTAGAAATAAAATATGTAAAAAGTGGTATTGGTATCAGCAATACTAGCCTGGGTATTACTTGGTATTGGATCGGATAGGAATTAAGTGGTATCGCACATCACTAGTGCTCCGTTTTCCATTGCAGATAGTACCCAGAGATGGCACCCTTCAATGTAGCTGGTCGTCATAGCGACTCCACACACAACTGCCGCCACGTAATGTTCAATGCAACACACACACCAGCGACCTACACACAGCTTTCTCTTGATTTAAGTTAAAAAGTGTCAACATTACTCAGAATATAAAGACAGGTAAGCCGTATGAAAACCTTACAGCTGTGTTTTTTCCTCTGCCGTTGTTGCTGCAGGGGTCTCTGTGACAGTGGGACCAGAGGGGTCTGTAACTGGGCGGTTTGGCGCAGGCTTGCCCCGTTGCCACTTGCGGAGCCCCTCAAATCCGAAAACTTTCAAGCACATTTTTGTTCCGCCATCACTTTTCGTAAAACTGTCAATATTCAAAATCTGCACAGTTGATTTCTCACCTAACAACTTCTCAGAAGTGGATTTAGTGATGAAAGGACATATGAAAACTGTAAAATATAAAACTTTCTGTTGCTGGCTTCTGTCTGGCACGCGCAATGATGATGCAGTGAATAGTGACGATTCCCTCTGACCATTCAGTAGTCTGCTGTGTTTTCACATCACATTTTGTATCGCCTCAGCTCGCTTGGAACCTCAACGGAGGTGATAAGAAAAAAAGTACCTGGAAACAGGTACAGGTACAACTTTTCCCAGTGGAAAACCAAACAAAGGCGAGGAGAGTCAAGCTGGTACTATGCAGTGGTAAAGGGGGTTATTATATCAGTTAAATGTAAAACTGAGTGGTTTTCTAGCATGAGAAAACGTAATATAGCCATGCAAATTCGAGTAAAATTAAACTTTTACAAGTAAAAATGGTTACTTACATATGTTTAGTGATGTATTGTCCGCAGCTCAGCTGAAAACGCTGGTCAGGTCAGCACAGCAGTTTGGTCAAGTCCGTTACAGCCGTGTGTGAGACATGCCCAGACGAGTTGTGCTGTTGCTATGGTTACTAACTGAAAAGTTGGCGTGTCCTGACGATTTACTTATGATATAGGTCCTTAAACTGAGTTTTGTGAAAAAATATTTTTTAGGAAGTACAACAAAATCAATTTTATGGTAGAAAATGGCAAGTTACAGGAACATTCACACTTTTTACTTTTCTGTAACTTAAATTTTCTTTTCCTTTCTATTTATTTGTTGAAAGAAATTTACATTTGAAAATAAAGTCGTATGGACAGGGCCATTGAAGCTGTGAATCAGCCTCCATGTAGCCAGCACATAATCTAACAGATATGACAACAAAAGTACAACTAAATGTATAGCGAATGGAAGTAGCTAAAGAGTGAACTATATGGTTTCCTTATCATCATGGTTGAGTTTCAAATGTGCTGTACCGATCACTGCCAATCAAGGCTCAACAACTGTCCGACCTGCAGCCTCTCCGCTTTGTGTATGCAGTGCGCCTCCACACACGTGCGTTTTGGATTTACAAGCACAGCGCTAGTTCAGCTAATAGCTTATTGTTACAAACAAGCTAAAGTGAAAGTCTTTAGTGACTGTTCAGCTTAGTTGCCACCTACATTAAAATATGGCATATTATACACTGAGCTGATGGTTGAGACAGACCAGCCTTCCTCTCTACCAGCACCAGGGAGGAGGAGGACAGGAGGGACTGAGCTGTTCATTCTTTCTAAACTTCACTCAGTATGTTGTCAGGAATATGATTTATTTTACTGACATTTTAGATTTGTTTCCAGTGAGCTATTAGTGACTTTGCTGTTGTAAATCATGTTGCTGCTCTAGAAACAATTTAGTTAATAAGAAATGTTAAATTATTATTTTTTTAAATATGCAATTATTTAGTAATAAATAGGACTGATAAGAGCATCGATAAAGAACTGAACCAATAAGGATTACCAATACAAGTGTGTCAATAAAATCCTAATGATCCCAACTCGTGAGAAAATGTTCTGGTTTTAAAATCCGGCCCAATTGAATAGCCCTTCTCTACAGTGATCATAGTAATATCTTGCGACGAAATTAAACTGAATGCAGCATTGTAGACAATAGAAAAAGTCTCATACACTAGAGCTGATACTGTTCATTAAGCCCTACAAAGAAGTGTTGTATCAAAGAATGTACTGTAACTTGAGCTAAAGTTAACAGGAATGTTTTTTTTGTATAATTAATAAAATTATAACTAAGTTACTGAAAAGATCCTGTTACTGAAACAAATAACTGTAAGTTACTGAAACATACTAAAACATTACATTATATACTAAACAAGACATTTTGAAAACTTGAACATTCCCTTTGTCTCTTTTATCCCGGATTGAATGTGTCCCTCTGACAAAACAACTGGCCCCAGCCTGGCCCCCTGAATAAAATTGGTCTAGAACCACCACTGCATTGAAGGACTTTTTACAGTGCAGTTTTCACATCTCTCACACTCAAACCTCTTTTCTCCTTTCCCTTCTGTCTTTCTGCATACAGAAACTGGGGGCTCCATACATCTACCCACAAAGAGACAGCTCCTCCACTTAGAGTCTCAACTCCCACCGATTCCCACCCATCTTCCCACCAGCTGACACTCGTCTCCTCTTCTCTCCTACATCCTCTAGTGGTGAGGTTTCAGATTGCAACCACTACCTTTCCAAGCGCGTACTCGTGCACATGCTCAAAATAATGAGCGAGTAGATTCCAACACAGAAACCAACACACTGGAGACGGCATCACACAAAATGCTGGAATTTTAGGCTACGTTCAGACTGCAGGCCTTAATGCTCACTTCTGATTTTTTTCCCCAGATCCAATTTTTTTTGTTTGACAGTTCACATTAGTGCTTAAATGTCGCCCATATCAGACTCCGGTGTGAACAGTCCGCGGCCTGAAAGCATGCACATAACTCATAAAAGAGCTCGCGGTCCAGTGGATTTCAGGTGTAAGACAGGGAATTTGTGAGCAGATGATAGCGAGGTTGAGGACGAAGAGACCCTTAATAATGGCTTTTGTGGAGCTTTTTTGTTCCCCGTGACTCCGTCTACAGCAAGACTGTGACTACAGCTGCTCTAGAGTGAAGTTGCATCAATTCTGACCTGAGTGTCCAGACTCAGGTTGCATTTAAATAGGTCTTGGGTCTCATTTATAAACAGTGCGTATGTACAAAACAGGGCTGGAAATGTGCGTACGCCACTTCCCAAGCAAAAGTTTTGATCTATAAAAAAACAAACTTGACGGGAAAATGTGCAATGTGTAAGTAAACTCTGAACCATGTGTACGCACATAAAGAGGAGAAATGAGAAGAAATGAGAAACAACGACTCACATGGCAGAAGGATGAATTGGTTTGAAATGAATAGGCCTACTATTGTGTAAAATAAATCAAAATATTATCACTGAGTATTATAGGCTTAAAGCCTTTCCGAATAAACAAACACCCGTTTGACTTTCCCTGAAGTGCGTAAAAAACACACAATTTAAGATAATTTGCAGCGCACAAAAAGATCTTATGGGCAAAAAAAATTGGATTGGGGTCACATTGGCCTGCAGTCTGAATGCAGCCTTAGGCAAACTCCCACTGCAACTTTACAGTAATATTTTTATCAGCTTGACGTTAAACTAAAGCTTGTTGAATGAAATCGGTACATTGACTGCATCAAGCCAACATGATATGTCTGCATTAGCTAGCATCCTGGCTTTTCAATAACTATTTGTGTATCTTTCATTGGGCAGGCTCAGCAAAGTCGGCATAGCTAAATTTGCCAACTTTCCCCAACTATTGTTTTGGGCCCCCCCCCGCACCTCCTGAAGGAATGACTAAAATAAATATAATTAGGCAGATGGAATTGCGGAATTTGACGATGAAAAGTTTAACTGTGAAATGCAATATATCGTGGAATCTCCCAAAACGTTGATGCCATTTATAAAAATCTGCATTTTTCTTGGCATTGTAAGTGTTTTTGCCAAACAATCAGAAATACCCTACTGCTATGTTCTGGTGTTTAACCGCTGCTACTGTCCTCTGTGTCTGTGTTTCAGCGTGGGCAGGTCGCTCCGGTCAGGCTTTGTAAAAAAAGGAGGAGGGCTCCCCATGTGAAAATAGCCTATGTCAGACCAAACCAAGCTCAGAACAAATGATCCTACAGGGCCATAAGCAAACAGTAGTGAGCTCAACACCACTGAAGGCCACAATGCACACACGCACAGACAACGTTTTAGGGATTCAGACCCTTTCTATAGCCGCAACAACAATATGACAACAACCGTAATCCATATCCAGCACAACAATTTGGCCCACACACGGAGTCAGGATGGTAAAAGATGCTTTCACTCACCACTGGGCTCATGTAAGGAGACAGTGCTGTTTAACATTTTCCACATTTAATAAAGTTTAATAAATGTTATGATCTGACTGTCACTGAGCTCGTAGCTGTTTCCCCCCACCTGTTATGCTGCTCAATGGAGTGCCTGTTGGGCAGCGATGTTTACCGCTTGTAGCGCTTGTAAGCTCAGTTTCACAGCAATGTCAATGAATCCCGCTGTTGTCATGTTTCGCAATCCTCTCAGAAAGATGAAGATGAAGACGGGCACAGGATGGTCTCCCTCGAAGCCAGAAGTACTTTCCACGAAACACACGGTGCAGTCAGGGGCTCCAGTGTCCGTACGACGTTAGCTTGCTGTTAGTGATGGTGCTAACCTGTTGCTATTTGCAGACTAGTATAGCTCTTACACACAGTACAATATACAAAATTGTGTATCTGTGTGACAAAGTTATTATAAACTAGCCAGGCTTCTAACTGTCTCTGTATTTTAATTAAATTACACTTTTCTTTCTTTTGCAGCTGTTGGCTAACTCCACAGAAAACACACACACACACACACACACACACTGCAGAAGGCTGACCGGTGTAAATCCGTTCCTCTCTGCCTATTAGTCAAGCATAGCTATCTACATAGACGAATCGGAGGGCTCTCTTAAAATAAACATCATAGTCTGTCACTCCTCAGAGTCAGAGGTTACCCTCTTAAAGTGACAGAGCCTAATATGACAACACTTGTACGCTGCTAAGCACCTTTTAACTCAAACCCAGGGATTACATAATATATACAGTAAGTGCAAGTATCATCAGAGTAAATATAGGAACCTTCCCGCCCAGATCTGGGATATAACTGCCCATTTCGAGTATGGCTACAGAAACCGATAGTGGTGTACTCGCTCATCCCTAGTTACAACCTCTTTAAGCAGTCCCCTTGAAAATGCTTGTAATGTCACTGTACAAAAGACAGTCAGGTCACAACAAGCTCCAGCACTAAGAGAGGAATCCTAGTAAGACACATTGCAATGCAAATCAGAGATATAAGTAAATATGGTTGAGTCTCTGTTATGGTAACACATATGTAATGGTAAGACATGGACAGAGTCCTATAGTACTAATTAAGTACATAAAACAGTAAAAGAAAAATAAATCTAAAACCAGTGTAGCAGAAAGTAAATATAAACTAGTGCAGTGCCTGTCCACAGGGGCCAATGTGACGCCTCTTCACTTGTAAGGCCTGTGCATTACTAACTGCATTAAATGGACACTCTCACTTATTTGACGACCCCTGACCTACAGCCTTAATTACACTGAAGGAACACGACAATGGCGGAGATACCGCTAGATATTTAGCGCTTACAACTCTGTTTCAACACATTCCTATATTATTGCCTATATCGAACCTGGGTGATGTTTTTTTTACAATTCCACATCGGAGCATATAAGCCCTGTTGCGGTGAGCATACCCCACTCTCGCTGTTGCTGCTCAGCTCTGTTCTCTATTATATTTATTAATTCTGAACATGTTGTGTGTTAAAATTGCGCCAAACACGACACTACACTCCCATGGGCCCACAGCAACATACCCGCCATATTTGAAGTCGATTGGATGAACAGTTCCTGACATAATCGAAAGACAGACAGACACATAGAGATTTCGGTCTTTATTGGAGAGATACATACAGTACATACATGAATGGACATATGTGCATGCATATATACAATGTAAGTGTAAATGTAACATTAACATACACAAATTATGCTGTATACACAAGTGAATAAACATACAATGCAAATATACGAAATACCTACATATACAATAAAAAAATCACTGGGGGATAAATCACATCAGTTAAGAGCAAGGCATACATGTTATACCCATCTTTATAAAGTGAGTTATTCATTGTTATCAGGTTTCAAACAACGTTCTTAGTCATGCAACATGTATAAGTTTTTTTTTCCTACTATTTTAAGTCAAGGCCTTTTTCTGAAATGCCTTTGGGCACCACAGCAGGGAGAAGAGGAAGAAGATGCATCAGTTTACTCCAAAATAACAGTTTTCCTCCACCCTTGCGTACCCAGTTATTGTAAGAAAAGTGATGTACTGATGGCTGTCAAATCTTGGTGGGAAAGGTTCCTCCCACGTCATGACAAAATGTCCTTTATCTTAATACAGCACACTGGACGGGTTGGAACTAAGAAGAACTCAACCCACGTAATGAGTCTTTTGATCTAGCCTCCTGAGAAATCATTTAGACCAGTGGTTCATTCATGTGTCCCTATATATTATGGTTGTTTGGAGAGTATCGTAACAGTAGCAGCTGCAGGATGTCAATCAGAAAAGACTCTGAGGAAGTGTCTAATTGTGAGCTGTGAAACTATGTGTTGTAAAAGCAATAGCATAACTGCAGCCATTATTGTAACATCACTGTCATCACTGTTCCCACTGTCAGGTGTCAGTAGCACCTAGGAATAAAATTTCCCATCAACAGTTGATGCCTATATTGACCTATGTGCACAAATTGCTTGCTTTAAAGCCCTGGATCTCATTGCACTAAATTAACACAAGATGTCTTCCATGTACTTTAAACTAATTTCACTGACAGTAACTATTTAGTAGTGAAGCTTGTGACTTGTTTTAAGGTCGCCCTGTTGTCATCTGTCACATGACAATGGGGGTACTTTGCGTCGCACTTGAGTCTTCCTCCACAGACAGAGAACTTAAATTTCCTCTCAGAGCTAATAGAAATTTAACTCTGCCCATAACTCCGCTGAGTCCTCGAGGCTCAACACTAGGCAGGGCCCTGGAGGAAATAGCTTCAGATGTCATTTACTTTACTGTTCTCGTCTTATCTTTTTCATTTCTTCCCCCTTCCCTGCTCCCATATCTTTTCATGATGTTTGCTGTCATTGGCAGTGGCTTGAGTGGCCACGTCGCAGAAATATTGATTTATTCCCTCCCTTTATTCCTTTTTCCCCCTCCACTTCAACCCCCTCCTCCTTCTCCTTCCTTGTGTTGCATCTGAGGCTCAGGGGTTGACGCACAACCAACACACTTCACTGGCAGCTCATCCCGCTTCATTCTTTCGCTCCTTCCCTTTTTTTGTTCTTCTGTCTCCCGATTTCTTTTCCCTGAGACTCGATTCTGACGTCACGTTGTGGCTTTGCTGTCTTCGAAAGCACTCTCCATTATGGAGTAGCTGAGAGTAGGTGTAGGGGGTATGGTGGGGTGGGGGAGTTTTTCCTCTGCCATCACTTCACTGTATTCTTCCCTACATCCATCAAAGCAGCACGGGTCCGTGTTCAGGCACTTGGCTCGCTGTCGACCTCAGCCACTGACGACTCATTCCCCCTGACAACACACAAATAACTATAAACTTTTGCTATTAGTGAGGTCGCTGCAAAGTGAAATGTCTTTTCCTCAGAGTGTTGTTGAGATCTTCTTCTCTGCAAGAGAGAAAAGTGACCAGGATTCCCAATCTTTGTTTCAAGTGAAAAAGCAAAAGAGGCTGTTAAAATTATTTTTCTGCTGCAGTACATTCTAGTGGTGGACCAATATGGGTTTTGCAGTGGCTGATCTCAAAATGACAGATATCGGCCCAATTAATCTGCTGTCTGATTAATCGGTCTATCACTAGTACATTGTGTTCATATTGGCTATGAAGTGGCATTTCACAAATTTCAGAAGAACGACACATTTCCTTATTTCTTTAAGATGAATTATATATTTAACAATAGGTGGATTGTTCCAACATTATTTGATATATTATTAAATCTTTTAGGAAGTGAGTTGAATTGAAAATGGCCAGAAGTGACTAATTCAGCTATCATCACCTAAGCTATGGAAAACAACACTAGCTTTGTACCACTCCCTGGCATCTCTTGTACTCTCTTGGACCACAATGGACTTGGAGCCTACAAGGCTTCTCGTTCATTATTGTAGGAAGGGGGATAAGGACCCTTTTATGACCCTTGATAAAGTGCACAAAAAGGGTAAATATGTCAATCTGTCTTTGTCTCTCATACCCCATCGGTCTGATTTTCATAGTGTCTTTTCTAAAGGTTGATTGACAACAGCCACTAAAGAAAATGCTAAGATCTGGGAACACAGCGTTTTTACATGACAGTCCAATAGGGAAAAAACACATTAAAAACACTTGAGGTGAGGTAATTGAAAATGTCAGCAATAATCTGTCGTTGCACTGGAAAACTGTCACAACCGTGACAAGTACTACAGGTTAACATTAGCCAGTAAGTCAGTCTGTAAACTGTGATGGATGTTTACAATGAGCAGTATGGGTAATGATTTTACCATTTACGTTTGTTTTCCCTTTTAAATAAATTTGGCTAGCCCAAGTGAACACTGCAATTTCAATGATATTCCCTCCATAACCCTTCACATCATGCTAGCCCTTAGGAGACCAGGGGCGAATGCAACTCTACTCCATGCTCAAAAATACATATCAGTTGCCATGACTGCTTTGTTTGATTACTAATGTGTATTGAAAATAATGTCTTCCCACCAAACAGATGCCCAGAGTCTGCTGCTGAAGAGGACATTAGCATTGTTGCTTTACTAGCTCCCATTAGCAGTAAACAAATGCACCTGTCTCTGTTTACCATCTCTGCTATATTGCCTCTGACAACGCACCGACGCCAAGTCATAAACACAGAGGAGGAGCAATTCATCTTTATTGCATGTAATCATTCTAAACATCCACATGGGCTATCTGTCCCTCTAAGACAGGTAGGGAGGTAGCCAAATAATATCCCCCCTGTGGCTGAGGTTCATCATTTCGCCTGAGTGATCCCGTTGGTCCAGAAGTATGTCAAGTTTACCATGTGGGTTTATAGTTAGTGTTTTTATCTCTTTCTGTTGAAGTTGCCTATGTGGCATTCACCATGTTAACAGCAGGTGATGTACTACGTGTGATATAATGGCTTTTATTAGTGAGCATGATTAAAGTCAGCCGGGAGGGGGAACGGGCAGGTGCTGGGCTGATGAGCAGAGTGACAGTGTTAATAGACTGAGGCTCCAGGGAGGTGGCCCCCGTTTGCAGCACCAATCTGTCTTGATTTTTGCACATTGCCTTCTTCAATTACACTAAGTGTTTAGCTCTAGTCACTGGCAACCTCGGCATGCATACACCGTCGCTGGGGATACAGGAGCATACCGTACATTACGCAGAGTACATTATGCATGAAAATAAAAAACACAAGTCAGTCGTGCTATCGTTTTGAAATGTTATCAAGTCACACTCTAACTTTTTTCCCCCCTGAATTTGTTAGCAGCAGTGACTACAGTTCTCTGATTGGATATGTGCTGGCCTCTAATCTGTAGGAGCTGCTGCCCTATCTCTAAGATGTGTCCATGCTCTTCGCTCAGCGAGAAGAGAGAGATGATGCAGAGATAAGACATTGAGGGATACTCTTTCTTCACAGGGACACAGAGGGAATTAAAGGTGTCCTCTCCCACCTGGAAAAAAAAGGTTATTATCTTCATCCCCTAGCCTCTTCAGCTGACACCACGCAGCACCTTTACTCAAGATAAGACCTAATCTGGACTCTTGCTTATGTCTTTATTTACTTGTGTCAAGGTTATGAGCTACAGCACACCAAACATGCTGTCCCTATTCAGTCAAACCTGACAACAGTGAGGAAAACAAATTGATGCTGTCTATGTATTATGTGAGTGTATAATAAGGTAACTGTTCAAAGTAAACACGAACCTGCTGTTTGGTTTCAAAAGCCTCTTGAATTCAGGTTATCGACTTTTGCAAAGTGAAAGCAAGGGGAATGCAACTGCACATTAATTAAGGACATGGCGTCGGAGCTGAATTCTCCAGTGAAACTAATGTAAATTAAGAGTATATTTGCGAGTGACAGAATGAGAAAGACATCAGCAGTCTTTTGACGATTCTTTGTTCAAGCACCGAATGATCTTCTTGGATTCGTCTTGACACAATGAACAACCATCGAGAGAACAGCTGTCAACAGAAATGTACATTCTACCAGGTACCGATACATATGAACCAAAATGGCCTAAGCAGCAAGTTGTCTTCTGTCTTAGAGTGAATGTGGGTTCCTCCTCAGGAGAGAGTGGCTTGTTATGTGGGATGCTGATGACAGGCAGTGAATCTAAATTCCTATAGATTGTTTCTATAACCTTTCTCAACTGAGGAATAACAGAGACGTGATCCCAGCACCACTGCTCTTTAGATTGCTCCCTTGCTGTCACTTGACACAAATAAGACAGTGACGCCTGGGATGTGGCACTGCTTACCTCTGCATCGAGCGGGGGGAACGTGCCATCTTTTGACCCCCTGATGCATTTCAGAAAAGGTCAAGCTGACAGTCGTCATCTCATCAATCCGCTGTTGTGACTCTGTCAATCTTCCCTGGGACCCCTCCGGAGGTGGGGTGGTGGGTGGAGAGCATTAGAGAACAAATTTACCCATTCTGATTCTTCACCACCCACCCTTTGTTTGCCTTAGAGAGATGGACGGGTGGTGGTGGGGGGGGGGGGGTTGACCTTCGTGACCACCTTATCTTGTGGAAAGGTCACAGCAAGGCCTCTCGAAAATCAGAGGGGTGGGGAGGATCGATCTGGAGGCTTTCTTTTATTTATCTCAGTAGACATGCTGCTCCTGGTGTTCTTCCAGGCCAATGGTGAGGGGGAGAGATAACGATCTATTAGTGTTGCAGATATCCTCCTCCTTACCTCTCTCCCCCTGCAGCCCCCTCTGTCCCTTGCCTTCCCTGTCAGACACCCTAACTCTATAGAGGGCCCTGGCCCCGAGCCAGAGGCATTTGGTAGAATGAAACTTGGAGGTCATCGGAATGAGATGGTTGACATCCCGGGGTCAACACGATCAAGCCATGTCATTGCTTAATACAGTGTATGGAAGGGTGAGAAATCAGGCCGCCCTGATAGAGGCTGCAGAGCTATTAGAACTGTAAGAGCAAGTGTGTGTGTGTGTGGATGTGGGGGGGATCACATACACTTTTCTGTCCTGTCCCCTTTGACTTTTGCAGTGCAGTGTATTAATGGCCCGCTCTTATCACCATTTATCATTTGAACAGTGCAATATATAGGAAGTGGTTGCATCAGTAGAGGGAAAACAAAGGCAAGATAGAGATGTTACACAGTGAGATGATTGTGTCGCTGAGAGCTTGGATGATTTAATTAAAGAGTTTTCCATTCCGCTGTTTTCAGGTCTGCGTTTTCTTTGGAGATGGAAAAGGAAACAAATGACTCATTGACATTGCTGCTGACTCACACATAGCTCAAGATGTCTTAAGTCCCTAGCACTGATGATATTCATGCAGCACACACAAATGTGAGTGCACAAACACACAATCACAAGTCTACTTTTATTTACCAAAACACCACTTTAGTATGCACATAACACTTTGGCACGTAGTAAAACCTCCCCACCCAAACATGCTCCGAATATTTCTCCATTACCCCACCATCATGGTCAATTAGGCCCCACTTTCTCCACCTTTTATCTCCTTAACCAGGGTCCTCATCTGCTGCTTGTGTCACAGGGCCTTCAGATAAATAATTCAGCAGAGGGAATGGGGAGGGGGTGGGATTTACAGCTCCTATCTTACCCAGTTAGGCTGTAAATTCTGAATGAGGGGAAACAGGAGAATATAGTAGAGGATAAGAGAAAAAGGGAGAAGGCGAAGGGAGATGAGGGAGGAGAAGGGCTGTGGGGAAGTGGTCCCCTGGGGGCCATAGTCTCACACAGGCAACATCATAAAGTCACCATTAGAATGCTGTATTTATAACAGTGGGTTTGCCTCGGGCTGTGGCTGTGATACTGAGTCCTCCTCCCTCCAAACACACATATGCATGCGCGCGCACACACACACACACACACACACACACGCACACACACGCTGTCTCTCTCACTCCGTCTCTATGGAACACAATAATCACACAAGTATATCCCCCCCCCCACACGCACACACAAGCACACACAAACACACACACACAGCACCTATATCCACATGATGATGTCTTTTTTCCTCTGTATTAGTGGAGTCTCTTCATAAAACACACACTGTGTCCCTATATATGGTGTTCAGCAGGGCGCCGGCATCTCAGAATATCAATGGCTTAATGAGGCGAGGGCTCTTTCTGATGTGCCGCAACATTGACTCTTTGAGGGGAACACGGCGAGTGAAGCGACTCTGTGAAGAGATAACAACGACCCCCGATGGACTGTTGGCCATCTCGGAGCATGCTCAGTAGTGCCTGACATAATGGCTGCCTGTAATGATATAAGACATGTCTGTGTATGAGGATCCTTACGCCTTTTGTCAACGCTGTATCATAACATTTGAAAGGCTACTGAGGGGTTTTGCTTTAGGGTTATTCTTGTTCAAGATCTAATAAATTGAACTGATTTTCAGTCTTTATACTTCTTGGATCATTTATGGCATCGTCTTTTTTCCTTCTTGCATTATCCTTGGGCAATTTGCTGCTCTGTCACAGCAATTTGAATCAGATCTATTAAATTGACGCTGTTAAAGACATATGATCCATGGCCACATCCACTCATGAATTCCTGCAAAATTTCGGCTAATTTAAAATTTTTCAATCGATACATATGGGTAGAATATATGTATATGTGTGTGTGTATACGTGTATATATGTGTGTGTGTGTGTGTGTGTATATATTATATGTGTGTGTGTGTGTGTGTGTGTGTGTGTGTATATATGTGTGTGTGTGTGTGTGTGTATATATGTGTGTGTGTGTGTGTATATGTGTGTGTGTGTGTGTGTGTGTATGTTACCATATTTTAATATACACTTAATTATATGTTAAGTTCTGTGTGTGTAGCATGAAGGCACTACAAACTTTGTTTTGTTATACAACCTTGTGCAGTATAATAACAAACAACATTGTACCTTTTATAAATAAAATCGATTCTGCTCATATTAATGCCTATAGTATATCTAAACTTTAACTAAAAGGTTTCTTTGAGCAAGTGGGGATAATGTGACTTTGAATTACACATCTACGACAAGCCAGCCATTAAACAACATATGGTTGAGTCAGATGTAGAGGAAAGCCAAAGGTGAGCAAAAATATTTAGTAGAACCAGTAAACAAAGCACAGCAAGCACACCAAATCCCCTGTGCCTTTTCATACACTCTGTTGAAAAGCAATAAGAGGAGGTACAGTACCTTTTGTTTATCTGTCCCACTCATGCGTTTATTGTCAAACCTTGTTTAGGAATATAATTTCCCTTTAACTGGCCTTTTGCTTTCCTGGCACTCTTCAGGCGCTTTCATGTTAGCAGTCTACAGTGTGGCCGCTGCCTTGGAATAAACTCCTTTTATTTAAAGCTAGCCAGAGGGGTCAGAGAAACTGATCTGTCATTGGCAGTGTAATAAACAGAGAAAGAGAGTTCCACATAAACACCTCCAACCAATATGAACAGCACTACAGGAAATGAAAATGTGGCCACAGGAAGTTAACCCTTTATGGTTCAGGAGGGTGGGGGAGGGAAGAGACGCTATGCTGCAATCCAATGTTTAGCTGAATGCCTCCGTATCCTTTGTCTGGGTTATTGTAGGGGGCATTTCCTGGAGGTGTCTGAACATGCATTAATTGGTTGTCATGGAGAGATACGGCTAAATGCGCACGGGGTGGCAGTGTCGAATCCCATTTAATGAGAGAATAAAACAGTCTCCCATTGAAGGCAGATAGGGAGAACCGTATTGACCCGGAGTGGTGCTCGTGAATAACCAGTTGTCTCCCTCAATCGATCACAACACAATGAGAGACAACGTGGAAGGAAGGGTGGCATGATTTGTGAATGACACAGAAGGTCAAAACAAATGTACAACGTAGTGATTCCTCCTTTGCCATATCTCATATGTCATTTTGTCTGTGATCCTGCACACAAGCACTTGACTCTCCAGTTTTCTCCTCCGTGACAGTGTCCTCTCTGCGGCACTGCTCTGGCCTCTGCCGTTCATCCATGCATGGTCATTAAGCTCAACGCTGCGCGATTCTCAATGAGGCGGCGCCAGCAAACCGAGTTGACCCTTCGAGGGCACCGCTTTGACTTGTGCCTCTTTCTCCTTCGTCTTCTTCTGTTCTCACCCGTCTTATTCCCCACAGTCTGCCTGTCAAAGGGCCAAAGCACTGGCTGCTTGTTGCGCATGCTAACATCCCAGGCTGAAAGATGGGACAGAGAATGAGAGAGAGAGAGGGAGACAGACCGAGGCTGAGACCGTTATAGTTATGGCCGCCAACCACCGACAGACTTTGAGAGTTGAGTGAATAAATGCCCTGTCTACTTGGGACAGGGTGCACTCACTCTCGCAACCCGGCACGCATGCATAAAACCCTAGGGGTCGGGGGCCGGCAAGTGGAGAGATTCTCTGCAGAGAGATTGATAACGCCCCCCGCTTCAAACAGCGGACAATCCAAGCAAGCCCAATGTGACTTTAAAAAACCCCAATGAATAGTGCATGGAGACGGGTCAAGGGCAAGATGGGTGGAGGGAGGGCTAAGGAGTTTTTCTTATCAATCAGAGAGTCATGGGGGGAATGTGAGGAGACAAGTGCCATGCTGGGCTTGTTGGGGGAAGGGGGGTGGGGGGTGGCAGAATAAAGCTCCTTTGATAGCTGTGAAATGGAGAAAAAGATGCAGAGAGGTGGAAAGAGCCTTATGGCTGGTGATGGTAAATACTCCAGGGTATTGAGCCTTTTAGGTTTATGTCACCGGTGTCATGTTGAGCTAGCTTGACTGAAGTTAATCTGTGAGTTTTCAGAGGTGAAAACAGAACTATCTGAACAGAAGCGTTTCCTGTCTGAGGCCATTCGTCAGAATTTTGACTAATGCACGTAGCTTGTTTTCACCGTCTGGGTGATTGTGGTCGGTAACATAAGTCTTTGCTTTACTGTGACAGATGATGACACAAAGTTACTGTTGTAATTTCAGTGTAGATTTCTCCAGTTAGGGTAGGAAAGCTTATATGAATAATAATGCCACATATGTTGATATTATTGAATTCTTTCCTAACATTTACACGTACAATAGCCCAATGACCCAAAGTAAAAAGGACAAACTCCTGAGCCACTGACTTTCATCAACGTGATTGAAAATGATGCTTTTTTTTCAAAGGGCCGCAGAGAAGAATAAGAGGTGGGAAGGGCTTTCATAATAGTAAATCAATATAGAGAATCTACAGCACAGTTCAGCCTAAATGCCACCCAGCCCTTTGGCCTCTTATCAGTACCCAATCACAGGCAATCAAGCTCTTTTAAAGGCTGATTTAACCCTGATGAGCCCTAAGCTGGATGAACCTCACACACAGACAGCACCAGTCACTCACACACACACACACACACACACACACACAAAACACTGTCTGCAATATTGCGGCAGAGATTAAAGTCACATGAAAGGGGTAGAGACAAAGGTGACGTCTCCCCTTTTCAAATGGCAAGAGCGTGGCTTGACATGAAGCGAGTGGGTGAGTGCCTGGGTGAACAAAAGGCTGGCGCCGTGCTAGAAAAGGGCAGAGGTGGGAGTAGGGCAGCAGTGGTGGGGGGCAGGCCTTTAATTAAAAGGATTATATTGAGGCGCACAGTGCTGCAGAGGAGCTGTCCACCGAGCCCAGATTGACTACAGTAATGAAACGTATCCCTGTCGGAGGAGAAACAGAGAGAGCGAGAGAGGAGGTGGGAATGCAGCTCTGAAGGGGGGGGGGTTCCAGAATTGATAGAAGAATGGGATTAGAAAAAGTAAACATTAAGAATAAATGCATGTAATGAGGGTTCATCAACCAGAATTAGAAGATGGGAGCTTAAAGTAATAAATATACAAGGTCATAAAGAATAATAACAATGAATGAACTATGGTATTAAATTAGAAGTTCTCGTAGATTAAAGTCATTACAGATATGCTTCCGGCCAAGTGAGAGTTTCCCTCTTTAATGTAAATGAATGCTAAGTTTGGCATATCCATCCACTGCCTCTGCTTCTCATTAATTTTTATCTCTGCAGATATAATGAAGTCATAATAGTGGGGAGTCTGATGAGTTGTCAATTAGAAACTTGAATGATCCCTGTCCTGAAATAAAAAAAGAGCCAGGGAGAAGGTTATTGATTCCGCTCCTCTCTTTATCTCAGTGGTATACATCCCTCATCAGCTTGAATTCATTCTCAACTGTCTATGTCCTTCAGTCACACTATGAAGTTGTTTTTTTTATTATATTCAACTAAGATCAACATTTTAAAGAACACCTGACATCAAAAAACAGGCATAGGATTAGTTACATCTATTCAGCAGTTGATTATAACATGCAATAAAATCAACATAACAGAGTAACTCAGGAATTGTACTGTCACACATGGCCACTTGCAAACTTTCCAGCGTGGAGATAAGTCCCCTGTGTCTGCCTCTGACTGTATTTGTGCTATCATTCCAATCTGTTGTGTTGTGGGGAACTGCATGGTTTCCCACCGCTGCTGACCAAGATTAACATTATCTCTGACCACCCTGCCAGAAAACCAGACTCTGCAGTAAATGAATTAGATAAAGGCAAGACAGAAAAAGTATAACTTTTGGCACCTGCTGTCTGTTACATTCCCAGATTTTCATTATGTTTGTATCTTACACACTATGAACCAACAGCCTGACCAAGCAAGTAAAGTTCATTCCTAAACTGTCATTCTGCTTCTGTTGAAGTCATAAAAAAAGAACCATACCAATGTTTTGTATGAGTTAGCCTGTTTACTATATTCATGACCACCTTACATTACTATTGTCAATTTTGTAAGGCCAATAGGGGTGTGTCCCTCCCTCTCAGACGATTACATAGCTAGATATACATTCCACAATACAATAAAAAACAATATCAACAGATTTGTAATGATTCAATACAGTTCGGTTCAGCCAATGAAGATTTGATATATTTCATTTTTAATAGTGTGACTATAGTAAATGCATTATCAGCCTTCCATTTATTTAGTATGTACATGTATATGTGCGTTTCCACATGGCTTCTGTAAAGGAGATGGGGCCAGTTAGAAGTGGCATCAGCTGCTTACACTAGCATTACTTGCCTTGTGTTGACTGCTCCTCTTGGTAACGTTACTGTCAGACTGCAAATGCAATGTGAAGATTTCAGGCAGTTGTACACAGTTTCTTTCTGTGTTTGAGCGTTGTAATGGCTAGAACATGAATGGAGAATGTAGCAAGCCAGCAAGAGTGGGGCAAGTTGCACACTCTGATTAATCTTTACACCCCTACATACAGTTATTTAGTGATTTTAATGTAATTATTATACGCTCCTGGCAGCCACTGCATTCAACTCATTCCCAAACATATATGAAAACCTTCTTAAAATACCTCAGTGTCTTGCTCAAGGACACTTCAGCAGCATAGAGAGGGAAAAAACCAGTGCAAAA